CATGAAAAAGTAAATAAAATATTTGTATCAATACCATAACATCAGCATAACAATAACATACCATCGTTAACATTTTTGTTTGAATAAAAATGTTATAATTCATTAAATATAAAACTATATTTAACAGAATCAAATTATTTCAAACAAAAACAAACATATTATTGACTAAATATCCTGCTGACTTGTGTAGAAGAAATTGTTTCTAAAATAAATGACTTCTTAATACGAACCAATAATAAGGACAAAATGGCCGCAGTCGGATATGTAGTGTCGTTTGTTTTGGAAAAAGTCCTGATTAATTAAACAAATAAATACAGTGCTTAAGTACAGTAATTGAATGCTCAATAACTTTGTAAAATCGCTAGCAATTAACCAATTGGCGACATAACATTTTTGTTACGCGTTACGTCTCTCTTTTCATTTCCGTTATTTTTTATGGTACATTTATTAATCTAGTACACACAATCTTCCGCTTTATGGCATATTTTTCAAGTTTCCGTAAACGCTGGCTGGTTTTTGCAATGCTAACTTGGTACAAAAAAATGACGATGTTTTGCCACCGTGACGGTAACTTGGTGGAAATGACAATGTGAATATAAAAATTGCATCAATGCATGCGATTTATTGTCGTTATATTTTTACAGCAATTGCAACAATATAACTATCTCTGTGTGAAATTTGTTTTTATTTCACATTTGAAAATAAACTGTTTAATTAACATCAATTCATTAACAAAAGAAAGGATACGAGAAAAAAAAAACAAAAAAAAACTTGCTTATACATGCTATCAATATATAATACATACTCCACATGTTTTAGAAAACAAAATGACTCATAAGATTTCAATGATATCATTTTCGTACAAAAACATATTTATAAATTAGATATTTGTTACACTCGTAGCACATTTTAATGACACCTTGAGATACTTTAGACTTAAATTGAAATTTTTATTGTTAAAAGGTAGTGTAACCCTTGTACACATGATTTTGAAGGAAAACAAATGGCGAAATGTTCCAAAATCCAATAAGAATTTAGGAATAAATAGTAACATAAGTAACATTCAATATGAAAAAAGGCTAAGATACTGAATATAAGCATATGCAAAATTTTAAATAATATTAGATTAAGTAAGTATGTACATGTATAACCAGTCATTTTCTTACAATGCATCATATTATATAAAATACATTAAAATCATCAACATCAACAGTGCTTTGATTTCACTTATTTTCATATATTAACTTAAACAAATCATCATAATTTACAAAGCTTACAGTTCATTCATGGCTTCCACTGAAATATACTTTATTTAATTTGAAAACCGTATGTATGCTTATGATATACGTAGCCTGACTTGAGTTAAAAGCGTTTGGACGGTTTTTTTAGTGTTGGATCTTTTTTCATAGCTTTTTTCTGGCAAATAGAATTATACATAATTGTACATGTACATATATGTTATTGGTCTAGACCTTTATCAAATGGAACATTGTTCACGAAAAGTATTTTCAGTCTCGTCATATCAGAAAATATCTGTGGAGTCTACTAATCACAATAATTAACAGTTAGTTGAGGACAAAAATAAGCATGAACAAATTATCATATTTTACAGAGAGTTGAGTACATTAATTAAGGAAGACAAATCATCATAATTAACAGTACATGAGTAAATACATTAAGAAAAAAATAAACCATCAAAATAAACAATGCATTCAGTACATACATAAGCGTTAATAAATCATTATACGTACAAACAAAGCTGTTATTGCATATATGACATCAAATAATTTGTTTACATCTTTTCTGTCTTAACTGTTGCAGATGTGCTAGGGTTCTAAACTTGCTACACTGTCTTCGATTTTGAAAAATGAATCTAAAAAAAGTTTGACTAGTTATTTCATTATTTGATGACTTTATTAAATGTAAATTATTACAGTCCTTGTCTGACAATATTTAACAATAATATATTAAATGAAGATGAAAAAAGACGTAATTATTTACACGCCGACATTGAATGTTACCTTTGATATACTTCCCTCGTAAAAACATCTGCCTAGGTTCATAATATATTTTGATTTCAAAAGATGAATAGGACATAGTTATTAATTGACAAACGATATAAAAGTTAAAGACAGATATTGAGGTGTAATTATCTTTCAAGTGATTTAATTGATAATATTGAGTATATTCAACTAATAGGTCAGAAAAACAAAGAGATTGTATTATAAAAGACCTTTTCTGTAAAATAAACAACACATGTTAGTTTAAACTTATCCATTATGGTTGCATGCCTCCAGATGGACAACATATTTTATTAAAGAAAATTAGACTTGAACAAAATGTTATCACGAATAAAAGATAAGTTAAAAGATTTAAGAGTCAAGTACATATATATGTCATGACCGACGAATAAACGATTAAATAATCATATGTCTACTGCGTGACTAACGCATTTAGGGGTTTTCTTGATTATTTTGGTAATAAAAAAGGATCTTATAAGTCATTAATACCGTGCAAAATGATGTCGTTGTTCTCTTTCAATATTTTCATCACAAAAAAATCTTCAAAACTTTCATGACTGTAAGCATGAATCAGGAGGCATGATGTTTAACTATTATATGTCCACATTTACAGCTTAATATGTGTTTATTTATTAACACAGAAAACAGCATAAGCATGAAGATAAAGCAATCTTAAACAAGCGTGCTGAGAGAAAATGCATACAAAATTTAAAAAAAAAGATAATTGTTAAAGCGCACACATATGGTTCCCTATTCCAATGTGCAATAATATTAATTAAAATTGTTACTGCTGGAATAATTTTTAGCAAACAAACTGATACCTGATAAATTTACTAAATATGACGATTTCTTGTAAATTACACAAATGCGATGGTAATTTGTCAAATGTTACAGCAATGTTTTAATTGTGTTGTCTAATTTTAATATGGTGAACAATATTTAGGCAATGAAAACTCTTATGTGCAGCTGTTATTAATTACACATAGTAATACAACTTTCTACATTTTCATAAAAAATACAAAATGTTTTTTCAGATGTTTTAAAGTTTTCGATGAATACAATGACAAATTAAATATTTAAAAAACATAAATAATAAGAAATGAGCAAACTAAAGCTTAGTATGTCGTAACATGCATAAAGTTTATCATATAGCAATTTGTTTTAAGGTTTACATGAAGTGACGACAGTTGAAAAGATAATAATGGAGAACATATATCCAGATTGTTGCAGATTTGTTACACATCATCAATTATATTTTTTAACAGTAGAAAACAAGAGTTTTATCATTTCTATAATTTATAAAACAACGGACATTGAAACTTTCTGTAATTTAATTATTTAATTGGGGATACACCCTCGTGTTTATATGTTCTTTCCAATACACAGTTTACCGATACCAAATGAACTATGTATTTTCAACATTGCCATTAATATTGCAAATGTGATTTCCTTGTTTCTGTTTTAAACAGTCATATAGTTTTAAACATACAGTTTAACATAAATTTATAAGATACACGAATAACTTTTCTTTCTATCATCAAAGGCACACATCGTTGCATTTGATTTAAATTGTCTTAGTTATTGTGCATAGCTTGTAAGTATGCAATGAAAACGATTGTTGCAAACATTACATTATAATAATGTATTTATACACTATCAAATTTCCATCAACTTCTTCATATTCTGTCGAAAACGCCATGTTTCCAAATCTTCTTTTATGTAGTTATACATTTTTATCAAATATGAACTTATCATTGATTTTTCCCCAGTCTTCTGAAATGTAGCACTCATTATTTCCATTGCTTAAATGTTATGTATTTTTGTTATATTCAAATAAGATAGGGACGACGTTTCTTCTCATCTGAGTAACGCAGTCATTGCCATATTTAGTATGTTAAATGTCATGTTCAGTGCCTTCAGTAACAAAGAAAAGCTTTAAATAATAGGAAACTGATAAGACAAGAGATTAAATCAAAATAATAGAAAATATAAAACGAACTTATTTATGTGTACAGTTTAAAAAACATTCAAAATCAAAATTACTTTAAAATATGAGAATGTGAGTTGTATGGTATAATTTAAACATTTATTATCTGGAAAAATACCTTGTAGGTTTAATAAGGAATTATGGTCTATATTAAAGTGTTTGCCCCAAATTTTGGAAAAATAAAAATATTATCAAACATTGGCAAATTTAAATCTGCATTTCTTTGGGGAGCCGATGTTTTTTTTGAATGCTATTTCCCGAAATGTTTTTTAACCCCCATCCCCGTTTAAGGGATCCCCCTTTGCTGATTATGGCTTGAAAAAGTGTATTTTTGGGGCATCGCCTGGCCCTTTATCGGGCCATTTCGTAGCACTTAAAAATCCTCATCTCCCTGTAGGGGGGGTCCCTTTATGTGATGTAGTTTAACGTGTTTAAACCAAGTTCGTACCCAGCTTTTCCAATTTCTCCAACTGTTTTAGAAAGCTACTTAATCTCTTTCTTAAGCAAAGCAGGGTTTAACCATTTTTTGGTATTTTTTGGAAACCCTTCAAATATGCCTTTTGGGTTTTTTTTATTTCCCCTACCATATCGGGCAAGGGGCAACCACTTTCCCTTTTAATTCTCCAATGAAAAGTTTGTTTATTCCCTCAAGCAGTACTTTTGGTGCACTTAAGCAAAACTTAAAGGGGGCTTTGTTTTTTGATGCCCGCCTAGTTTCCCAAAAACGTTATGACGTTTAAACCCCAAATCGCAAAAAAGTCGACAATAGCGCATTGATACCAAAAACAAAGTTTTGAAGTAAATCAAAAGAAACCCTTTATGCAGTTTAATTATTCCCACATGATGCGGTCAAGTTTGAATATCCCAGGTTTTCATACAGTAAACCGCTTTTTTCTTGTTTTGGGAATTTTTTAATTGAACAATCTCCCCTTTTCCAAACAAAGCTGCAATGACCATAAACAATTTTACAAGGGAAAGATTTTAATAATTACAAATTCAGAAAGTTTTTGTCTTCCAGTGACGAATTCTTTTAGAACATAATTAGATATGTATGTGCGGAGAAAGCATGGAACAACATACCATCCAAGTCCTTTAATCTCTTCTGTTTCTTCGTCATAACTCAAGGCTTCGGAAATGATATGATGCCTTTGCATCAACATCAGCAGAATGTCTTTGTGTTCCAGAAAGTTGTTTTTAGCATCGTTACTCCAGACTCTCTCAAGCAATTGCCTTTCTAATTTTGCTTCCTGTGTAAGAGTTTTCCAAAGACGGCGGCATGTTGGATCTTTCTTGCAAAATCTCTCTGATGTTATTATACATCTAAATGCGTCAATTACATATTGAGTGTCCAGCGCAATGTATGCTGATAGTGGCTCTTCGTCAAAGTAAAATAAGTTTCCTTTTGCATGTTGATAGAGCAGAAACACTTTTATATGTTCCTTATCTGTCAGCGGAACCGCGTTTTGTGCATCAATTTCCTCTACTTCGCTATACAAAATTATCTTTTTATGCTTCACAGCAAGCAATTCTTTTTCAAGAGGTAGCCATCTAGCAGGAATTTTTTTCCCTTCTAAATTAGCACCAAGACGTATGATTTCCTTACGCAGTTCAACAATGCTACTGTTGCTAGGATTGGTGCAATCGACTGCAAAATCCTTTGCCTGAATGTGATTGATAATTGGTGTGTCGTCGAAAAGTTTCCTTATTTTATCAAAGTAATCGTCTGCCAACTTTTGCCTCATGTTGTCATCGCCTTCCAGTAAGTCTTTATGAGTACCTACAAGTATGACTGGAGGCTGTAAACCATCGTCGGACCCAACGTAAGAATGTATAGATCTCATCCAGAATTCTGCATACTGCTGTATGCTTTTTTTTACTGATTCGTTTGGAAATTCTGTATCCTCTACAATAGCTGATAACGATTTTGTTAAATCGAAAACCATGAGATAAACAGATGTCTTGCTGTGAAATAAGGTATGTGTTGCATAAAAGATAAACTGACCCCCAAAATCCCAAAACTGTAGATCTCCACCCGTATAAAACGGGTCACATTGATTCATATCGACCAGCATAGAAACTTTTAGAAAATCTCTTGATTGATGACAGCTGTTTCGAGTATACATCTCAACGCCTGTCTTTCTGACGTGTACTTGCGAATTTGTACTTGCTTCGTTTAAGTTGACACATCTTGAATTGTCCTTACTTTGAATAGATTTTATCCCATCTTTCTCAATCCGTATCAATGAAGCAATACGTCTATGGTATTCTTCGTCGCCAGGTGAAGTGCTCTTTGAACAGAACTTGATATCTTCATGATCATTAGAGTATTTACAGTGTATTATTTCAACGCCATTGGTGCTCGGAACGTCCTGCGATTGTTTTCCAACAAGAATATTTGTCAATGATGTTTTGCCTTGGGCAAAATTACCAACAACATTTACTCGAATTGTTTTATCATTTTCAACACCTTCAGATAAAGCTTTTTGGTAAATGTCATAGTTTAGTACATCATTACCGAATCCATCAAGATCCTCCAAAACTGATGTTGACTGCAATATACATGTATAAATGTATAACAGTATAATTGTGGATATTAAATGTATAGCCTGTTTTTTGTAACCGTGCGAGAAATGATAGTTCAAAAGGATAATGATGCTAACACAAGTAATTTAAAGTAATGAATTTCATTATATAAAGTATAAATACAATATAAATTAAAAGGAATTTCATAAAGATATTTAAGATAATATCATTAAAAAGTTTAGTATCATTAATTAAAGGCAAAATATAAAAAAAAATCGAAAAATGTTTTAAATGTGACATACCGTTTAGAGAGATCTATTTGACTTTTGAAAATTTATAAATGAAAAATTCGTGTTTAACAGACTTAAATTGATAATAATAAAAAGGTAACAAAAACACTATTATAATTTATAAATTTTAAAGTCATTGTCGTGTCCATGTAAAAAAGTGTTGTTCTGGTCCTTCGGGATCATTGATGCCAGCACTTTTGAGTGTTAAGAATTAAGTACCGCTCAAGCCGGTGCTAGTGGTTGAGGAATGTTTCACTTCCTCATTATCCGGCTCGTACAGACTCAAGCGAGTCTGCAATTTCCATGAAATTTTGTTGTGATTTATGCTTCCAACGGATAATTTTGTTTCAAAATTTTTATACATCACAACAGCATGTGTAAAAAACCTTGTGGCAGCTGTAAAATGCTTACTTCAGTATTGTTATAATTGTCTGGTCCTTCGGGATCATTGATGCCAGCACTATTAAGTGTTGAATATTGAGTACCGCTCAAGCAGGTGCTAGGGGGCGTGAGGGATGTTGCACGTATTCATTATCTCTCATGCAGGGACTCAATCAAACCGAGTCTGCTATTTTCATGTAATTTTGTTGTGATTAATGCTTCCAAGGAACCACTTTGTTTCTAAAGTTTAAAAAAGACACAACCGCTTAGTTGTGTCATGCTATATTTTTTCTTATTTCTAAATCTAAGAATGGATCAAAACTGTAGAAAATTAACAAAATTCTGACAATTTATGCAACATATATTCAATGAAACCTTGATAGTCAAAGTAGTTTTACGGTTAAGGGCTTTTAAATTTTTATTTTTTTCAAAGTTATTCTTTTGTCAAATAGAGAAAAAAGAGAATCCCTAAAGAAAGCCCAGTACGTCAAAATTAAAAATGTTACAAGCCCAGTTTTAGTGTCGATACCGGAAAGTACAAGTTACCGTCAACGCGCCCTAACAATGGCTTGAGCAGAATTAATCAATTAAACACGAAAATGGTGAAATTTTGAATTTAGAAACATCGCAGATCGCAGATTAGTTCATACGACGGTTATCACTGAACCTTCAATATGACACTGTCGTGCCATTCCGAGAAAAGCATGTATATGGTCCCCGAGTGCCCGAAACGAGAAAACAATGGCGGAACTAAATAAAATGGAATTTTGAAAGGGGATCTGAGGTTATGAAGCCTGCATATCACAGACAATACGTCAAAAGCAAAATTAAAAAGCAGGCAACATATCCTATGGGTGGTTAATATACGGTAAACAAGTGAGGAGTACTGGACTATGAACACAATCTGTAAATAAATAAGTTAGGAAAATTTAAGTTTAATTCCTTACATATTCATCTAATCAATGTTTTGAGATGAAGAAATAGAAACAGGTGATAGCGTATTAATACATATTTATTCACCGAAACTTGTACATACGTCACAAAGAATAGTATTATTTTTTTAAATACTTTAATATCAAATGTTAAGAAAATTGTTTGGTTCTTAACAGAAAAGAATTGACATCATTCACAACGACGGAAGAACAAAACGTATTTCAGTGTAGACATTTGTATATCATTAGATATTGAAACTGTAAAATGCAGCTTGAAACAGTATGTCACAAATATGTAAATGCGTCTGCATGGATAAAAAACATATATCAGCTTTAGTATTGATCTTGTTAAATTAATGAAACTTACTCTAAATATATTTGCTATCACAAATTGAGTAAGGTTTATAGTTCTTTTTCAACCATTTGATAGTAGTACATATGTACCACCTGATTGTTGAACATAGCATGCATTAATGTCATAAAGATGTGAATTAATCAAATTTATTAACAACTTGACGTAATCAATTAATTCTGAAAAAATGTAAGGTTCAATAGGTATTAAAATGTCTTGTGTCACATATACATGTAACTTGTATGTCACTTGTATGTAATAATACGTATGATAACAATGCAGGTTATTCTGAGATTAAATTTAAGTGGGACAATGATTTCAGGCAACAATTTCGTTCGGGCATAATTGTAAATTTACCTGTTTTTAATACTATTGTTAATACAATAGATTGTAATAGTAGACAGTCTGTTAATGATGAATTGAATAAATTTACAGATACAATGAGTGTTGCCGATCCTCTTTTTTCTTATAATTTGCAATATAGAAATGTTCATTATTATGATGCAGAAAAATATATGAAACACACAGAATGGTTTTATAAGGATTGTATCGATGCACGAAACGTATATTTAGAATCGTTAAAATCATTTAATTGTTGTAAAATGGATGAAAATAGAGTAATTTTGAGTAATCATAATCTGCTTATAAATCTGTTATTAAAAAGAAGAAAAATATGTTCTTTAGAAAGAAAATGCAAGAAATAGAAAAGTTGAAAAAGAGTAAGCCGAAAGATTTTTGGAATTTAAAAAAAAACAAACAGGAAAGGCTGATTATAAAATGACTATAGAACAATTTAGAGAATATTTTTTTAGTTTAAGAAATGATTTGTTTGAGTGTTAGAACGCTGAAGCTGAGGAATTTTGTGAAAATAATGATTTTACAAATACTAGTGACATTTTTCCAGAATTAGACGAGCCTATTACTTGTTCTGAAATTTTATCGGCTGTTAAATCACTGAAGCGTAATAAAGCCTATGGTAATGATTGTTTATTGAACGAATATTTTATATAAAGTATTGATAATTTATCGACTCATATTTGTGACTTGTTTAATTGTATTTTAAACTCAGGCTGCTTTCCTGATAAATGGACCAACGGTATAATTATCCCTCTGCATAAAAAGGGGAATCAAAATGACGTTAAGAATTACAGAGGCATTACACTTGTAAGTTGCTTATCAAAATTATTTACTACAGTTATAAATAGACGAATCGAAAAATTTTGTAATGAACACAACACAATTTCCGATGCACAGTTCGGATTTCGAAGATCCACTGTAGACGCTTTTTTATTCTTAATTCATTGGTTCAGAATTATTTAAATGATAATAAAATATTGTATGTTATATTTGTCGATATGATGAAATGCTTTGTCTCTGTTTATAGAAATGGCCTTTGGTATAAATTGTACAATTGCGGAATTCAAGGGTAGTTACTCAGTATAATACGTGATATGTATCAAAAAGTAAAATCTTGTGTTAAGTCATGTTCTAGCTATTCTGATTATTTTCTGTATGCTGTAGGTCTTCGTCAAGGGGAAGTTATTTCCCCTCTTTTATTTTCTCTTTTTGTTGAAGATCCTGAATTATATCTTCAGTCTGAAACTGAAGCAGGTCTTACTTTAGATGACATAGTTTTAATTCTTTTATTATTTGCTGACGATATGGCTATCATAGGTAAAAGCCCAAATGAAACACAAACTCTTTTGAATCTCTTATTGTCTTATTGTAATAATTGGGTCCTAAAAGTTAATACCTCAAAAACAAAAATTATGGTATTTCGTAAAAGGGGTGCATTTTTAGCATCTGAGCATTGGACCTATGATGGCCAAGAAATCGAAGCTGTTAATAATTTCAATTATCTACGTACTATTTTATCTAAACTGGTAAATTTATTCTAAATCAAGAACATTTAATTGGAAAAGCTTTAAAATCAATGAACATACTGTTATGTAAATGTATAGAGTATGATCTTAGTCCAAAAACATTATGTCAGTTGTTTGATGCATTCGTTTCACCCATATTAAATTAATCATGTGAAATTTCGGGTTATTCTAGATCTATGGAAATTGAAAGAATACATTTCAAATTTTGTAAAAGGTTGTTAAAAGTTAGATTAAATACATGTTAAACTAGTGTATATGGTGAACTTGGAAGATATCCATTATATATTCATAGATATGTAAGAATTATTAAGTTCTGGTTAAAACTTGTAAATACAGACAATATAATATTAAAAACAGTTTATACTCAAGCACTTGAAGATAGCAATAAAGGGCAGACAAATTGGGTTTCTAATATTAAAAGTATTTTAAATAACTATGGATTTGCATACATTTTTGATAATTGTAACAATATAGACAAGGTTATGTTTTTATCAGTATCTAAATGTCGCCTTATTGATTCCTTCAAGCAAGAATGGTTCAATAATCTTGAAAAAAAGTCCTGTTTTATGTATATATAAAAATGTTAAATCTTGTTTTGAATATGAATGTTATCTAAATATACTACTTAGTTGTTTTAGATTTTATTTTTGTAGATTAAGAATGAATGGTCTTCCGCTTAGAATTCAAACTGGTAGATTTAGTAGAAATATTATTCCTCGCAAAGAAAGATATTGTTTGTGTTGCAATAATTTAGATATTGAAGATGAATACCATTTTATTTGTATATGTAAATGCTATGACGTTATAAGAAAACAACACTTAAAAACTTACTATTACAGAAATCCATCAGTATACAAATTTACTCAACTGTTAAACTCAAAAAATAAAAGTGAGCTTGTACGTTTATCAAAATTTGTTAAAGAAGCTCTTTCCGTTAGGTATACACTTTTAACTAATAATATCTGAATTGAATCAATGTTCATTCTCCAAATGATTTGTTTCCATTCCAAAAATATTCATAATTAATCTTATGTAAAGTAAATGCACATCTTTTTTCATAGCTATATGCATGTTGATTGTTTGTTTATTAGTTCACTACTTTTATTTTATTATGAAACAATTGAATACGTAAAATGTGATATCCTGATTTTGTTTGTAAATTTTCATGAAGCTAAAATATATGTGAAT